CTTTGCTGCCGTTAAATGCTCAGAGTGGGGATTACAATTTCTCTGGGCTAGCTTGCATACTGAGTGCAATATATCAGGTCTTGTATTGATAGCAATATACATTAGTGAGCCAATCAATGACTGGTATTCCGTTATATCAACTTTATTACAACTTTCATTTATGTAATGTACCTGAAAGTTTGTCTCAAGAGGGGTAGAGACTGGGCGACACACACTCATACGATTTTTCTTTAAGAGCTGCAATACAAGTTGTTTTTGACTAATAGTCAAAGCACCAGTTGGATTTTCACGCTCCACTTCCATACCCAGAAAATGATTTATAGGACCCTTATTTACTATCTGAAAAATATTAGAGATTTTCTTTATTATTGCGCCCAACTCACCTAGGTCTGTACACACAAGTAACAAATCATCCACATACACTGCGATGATATTCAAACATTTATTGTTATTTTTTGTGTATACACATGGTTCGCTTCGGCATGAGACAAATCCTATTTTCTCCAATTCCTCATTCCATCTGGAATGCCACATTCGGCCTGACTGTTTAAGTCCATATAGAGATTTTTTGAGCTGAAGCACTTTATTATCGTCTTTCTCGAATAATTTCGGTTGCTCCATAAAAATTGTTTCTTCGAGATTACCATTCAAATATGCTGATGAAACGTCAAGGTGATGAACATGAAGTTCATATTCTACTGCTATAGCTAAAATCATTCTTATGGTTTCGTATCTCACTACCGGTGAAAATATTTCAGTATAATTAACACCGTACTTTTGACTACAGCCCTTAGCGACCAATCGTGCTTTGTACCACTCGATGTTTCCAGTTGCATCGAATTTCACTGCAAAAACCCATTTACAGCCGATAGCTTTTTGTCCTGTTGGTAGCTTCACCGCGTCCCATGTATTATTTTTTACCAATATATCATACTCCTCCTGCATAGCGCGTCTCCAGTAAGCGGACTGTTCGCTCTGTAGAGCTTCGAAGACTGTTTCTGGGACTACTATATCAGTTGACATCTTGACTGGAGCTACTAAGTTTACAATATCACATTGTGGCCTTGGTCTTAAATTATAACCAACTCTTGTACCAGTATAGTCTTCGGATTCTGGAACATCAGGTATATCATCTTCCTGTGGTGTATTCATTTGACTACTTTCTTTGTTGGCAGTTCCTTTCTCCTCACTGTTTTTGAGATTTTTAGTTGGAATTTCAAATTCATTATCTGGAATATAGCGGTTAAGATTACTTGCACTTAATAAAGGTAGGAGATCAATATTGCTATTATCGTTTAAATTTTCAACGAAATACACATCGCGACTTACAACAAGCCTTTTATTTATTTTGTCATATAGCCGATATGCTTTCGATTTTTCTGCATAGCCAACCATAATCATTTCTTTGCCCTTTGGTCGAAATTTCTTTTTCTCAGTTTTATCAAGAGCTATCGCCAAGCAACCAAATACTCGCAAATGACTTACCACAGGTTTCTTTTCCCACCAAATTTCATATGGAGTCAAGTTCTTTATTGTTCTTGTTGGTGATCGGTTTCTTATATATGCTGCAGTGTTAATTGCTTCACCCCAGAAGTTCTCGTCGACACCTGCGTTTAAGATCATACTTCGTGTCATCTCTACTAAAGTTCTGTTGACTCTTTCAGCAACGCCATTCTGTTGTGGAGTATGAGGCACAGTCAATTGTCTAAGAATACCCTTTTCATTTAAATAATTATTAAATTCTGTATTTACGTATTCAGTGCCATTATCACTACGTAACGTTTTAATTTTTTTACCTGTTTGGCATTCAACCATGCTTTTAAATGATTTGAAAACATTTAAAACTTCTGATTTTTGCCTTATAAAATAAACAAAAATATACCGCGAGTTGTCGTCTACGAAAGTAACAAAGTATCTGGATCCTCCGATTGAATTAACATTTATTGGTCCACAAACATCACTATGGACTAAGTCTAAAATATTTTTCGTTTTACTTTGAGACGATTGAAACGGTTTAATGTTGCATTTGCATTTAAGGCACACTGTGCAGTTTATATGTTTTTGATCTGAATCAAATTTTAAACCCAGCACTAGTTGTTTATTTTTTAATTCGATTAAACTATTAATATTTAAATGTCCGTACCGTCTATGCCACAGAACTAAATTATCATTTGCATTATTATTAAAAAACAATTGCGTTTTCAAATCGATTGTTTTGTTTAATATTTCACAAAAAAATAATTGTTTTATTTGCTTTGCTTTTAACACAGTTTCACCGTTTTGATCATAAATATACGCGTTATTTTTATCGAATGTCACTTTGTAACCATTGTTTGCTGCCTTGCTTACAGAAACAAAATTACATTGCAATACCGGAATATACAACACATTTTTTAATATAAGTTCACCCATGTGACTTTTTATTCTCACGTTACCACGTCCTATAGCTTTGAGAAATTTATTACCTGCAAGCATTATTTTTTCACTACACTGCTCAAAATCTTCAAACATTTCACGATGCGCGCACAAATGAGAAGTTGCGCCACTATCCAAGCATCTAGTACCGTGTTTTGACTAACTCCAAAAACAGAAAAAAAATGATTTTGAATATTCTCCAGAAACTTTTTCAGTTCTCTTAACAGAAGTTTCTCTTGATCTGCATTCTGCAGCGAAATGGCCTTTCTTCCCACATTTGTAACATTTAAAGTTACTCTTTTTTCTAAAATTTTTATCTCCTTTACCTCCGCTATATCTTTTGGTGTGCTCGTTGTTGGAATATTTATGGCTTGATGTAGCAACTAATGCTTGTACAGTACCATCTGCTTCGACTGTTTCATTATGTTTTCTCCGCTCACTTCCTTCAAATAATTTTGTTTTCAAAGCACTAAGCTTTGGAAGCTGATCTCTTGTTTCTAACGCAACAACAAAGTTTTCATAACTTTTTGGCAAACTTGCTAAAATTATTATTACAAACAATTCTTCTTGCAATTCAAGGCCAATTTCTGAAAGTTGTTCAATGACCTTTTCGAAGCTCGCTGCATGGAATCACCCTCACTCATGCGCATATATATCATTTTCTTAAACAAAGATACCTTTCTTATCGGTCCAGTGGGCTGATGAATTTCTCTTAATGCAGTCCAAGCGGATTTTGCGGTATTACATTTTTTTATATGTCCAATTTCTGAAGTTTTTATTGACAAAGTTATTACCGCCAACGCCTTTTCATCGTTCAGTCTCCACTTTTCACATATATCCACATATTTTCCATCCTTGGTCATTTCAGGCATTTTTTCACTTATGACACACCAGAGCCCTTGGTGTATGAGGACACTCCTCATCTGGATACTCCATGAGTCGTAATTATTTTCATCCAGTTTATCAATATTATACATAGAATTCATATTACTTGAGTTAAGCCTGGGCCCATAACCTGTTGGAATTTATCAAATGTAGAACACACCTTTTCAATAAAACGCGTTGTTTGCTTTTCGAGTGTATAATCACAACTGTCGGTTTTTATTAAATTAAATTATGTAGGACTAAATAAAAGCTTATTAAAGCTTGACAAAATATCTATATATGTGTAATGTTATTAACATTGTGGTAGGATTTAACTTCAACAGTCTCCTATAGAACTGCTGGGTGCAAATTTTGTGCATATGTTGTTGTAGCTGCTGCAATTCACATGTCTCCTTAATTATCATGATGACTTTCACTACAGGTCGTTCAACTTTTACTTCATCAATTCAAAAGAATCTGTCATTATTATTATGAAAGGAAAACGTAGCCCGAAACCAGAAAATCCTAATAATGCAAATTCAACAAAATCGCGAAAAATTGAAAATATTTCAACAGCGAATCAATTTGCCGTTCTAACCGAAGATGATAAAAATACCCGACCTATATTTCTGCGTGAAAAAAAAACAAACGCTCCCATATACTCCCTAACACAAAGTAATGGAAAAGATTCATTTCACGTTGTGCCTCTTCGTAAAGGAAATGTCGATGAAACAAAAATTTCGATCAACGAAGAAAAACAATACAGAACAGTTGTAAATAACCTCAAAAAAAATGGTAAAAAGTTTACACATACCAACTAAAAAGTGCCGTAGGATTAACAGTGTTTATAAGAGGAATAGAACTGGGTCTGAACACATCAGAAATTAAAGAAGCGCTCGCAGAAAAAGAGTTTGAAAGAAAATTCCTAATCCACACAAAAATATCAGTAGAAGAACCGCACAAGCGTAAAAATCCAGTGCAATGTACTAATTGCCAGGAATATGGATATTTGAAGTCCTATTGCACACTCCGCAGTATTTGCGTTGCATGTGGTGACTTTCACCCCACTAAGAACTGAACATAAAAAAAAATACATAAAAATACAGAAATTGTTAGTAACAATGGTAACAACACTGCAAATTACAAAGAATATATAGTATATATTACCAAAAAACAGAGAATGTTTCCAGCATTGGGTCTCCGCTCTCAGTCAGTAGTCCAACAATACATGTTCCCGAATGTCATATGCAAACGCTGTTACAGGATTCGCTGGCTCAAACAACACCCAAAATGAAATCTCTACTAAGCCATCTTCAAATATCAAAAACATGATCCAACTGTTTATGTAAGATATGAAACAATTTATGACCACCAAAATATGATGCAGAGAATGATTCAACATCAAAAAATCCTACTTTCAAACCTATCTAAAGCATGAATGCAATCAAAATTTTGCTTCTGGAATGCTAACGGCTTAAGCCAACATAAAAAGGAACTTGTATTGTTTTTACAATTACATCAAGTTGACGTAATGTTTATCTCAGAAACCCATTTTAACGAAAAGAGCTACTTTAAGAAACCTGGTTACATACTCTACGATACGAAACACCCCAATGGACGGGCAAGTTGCGGGCAGAATATATGCAGGGGACAAGCATATGCCTAGAAAAGTACATAAAAGATCTGACTATAACCTCAATTTATTGTCCACCAAGGTATGAAATAACGGAACCGCAATTTGAAGAATATTTTACAAAGCTAGGACCCTAATTCATAGCGACCGAGTACTTGAATACCAAACATACATTCTGGACCTCAAGACTTATACCACTAAAAGAAAAATCCCTGATGAACATGGTATCTAAACTCGACCTTGACATAACCTCCACTGGCACACTCACCTACATTAAACAAAAAAACAAATTGCTACAGAGCCATCCTTAAAACTCTCCTCTGATCACACACCGACTTTTATTCTGATTAAAAATACAACAATAGTCAACCCAAAATTCGAAGAAAAACTTACAAACCAACACACAAATTGGCTAAAATTTAAAAAATAAATTAGCTCACATATTAACACCGACACGTCCCTAAAATCAAAGAGACAAGGCCATGCAGGACTTCACAGCTCTACTACAGCAAGCCGCTCGAATATCAACCCCAGACCTAATACCTCACAAACCTATAAACTATGACACGTTGAACGAAAATGCAGCCCTTATACAGGTGAAACGACAAGTACGACCCCAATAACAACAACAAAGATCCACCCGAATTAAAAGACAACTTAAGAATCTTACGAAAGCACTGCAGAGACTACTTAAAGAAAAAAATCGCATAGAACACAAAAATTTTATTCCACACTTTTCACCAGCACAATTTGTTGGGCACTGCTTTTGCAGATCACCTTGAATATGTATTCATCCCAAACTCTATATTAACAAAACTACACCCTCTGGCTTCCCTCACACAAAACGACAAAACGACGATTTGCTTCAATAAAAAACCACTAAAAAACGAAATCAAAAATTTATATACCAAAAAAGCCCCAGGCTACGACCTAATAACAGCGAAAATGCTGAAAGAGATCCCACAAATCGGCAAAGACCAGCATCTTTTCATTTATAATGCTATTCTAAGGAATCCGTATTTTCGAAACAACTGAAAGCTATCTTGAATTATGATGACACCCAAGCCCAAAAAGGACTCCACTCAAGTCACCTCATATCGAAACTTAAAACCATACAATATATCCTCACTTATCATAATCTACCTCTCAAAAAGAAGATTTGTTATAAAACAAAATTTTTTGTCTCCAATACATTCCCCATTAAGGCCGATGTACCCCAAGGTAGTGACTGGGCCCTTTGCTCTAACTGATTTTCACAGCAGATATGCCAAACAGTGATTATACAACATCATCAACATTTGCGGACAACACTGCCATTCTCAGCCATAGCGACGATCCATTCACAGCCACATAATCTGTTCAAGATCACCTCAACAAACTGCAAAAAAGGCTCGATCTCTGATGAATAAAAGTCATTATTATGGACGACTTAAAACTTTAAAAGATTTGTTCTGCAATATCTTAAATTACTACCCATACATATTACAAGTGCATAATATAAGTAGAATTTCGATAAACATTTTTATTAACAAAATAAAGACATTTTTGTTTAAAAGACCAACTAAAAAATAATATGGTATATATGTTACCTACTATCAAATTTATTTTATAAGAATAGTCGAGTTTTTAACCAACTTTACTGCTTAAAGTCGTTCTTTAATAATGAAACTCTAAGCAGTGAAGTCCGTTGTGACCTCCAAAATATTAGTTGAAGCAATGAAATAAGAATTGTAGCTAACTTAAAGAAAAAAAATCTATGTAGTCAGTACATATTATGTAGTCAGTACCTAACAAAAACGAAAACGTAAGCAAAATGAGAAAAATCATATTTTGGGCTTGAATAAAGTTGGCATTTCAGTCTAAGTCGATGTATATGTTACTGTTGGTCATGGAAATGACGTACCTGCATCTTACAAACACTATTTCTACTGATGCCAACACAGGTACTGCTTCCTACGATGCTGGTGGTGGTGATATCTATTTTAAAGGTGAATTTCTTCTGGCTTCTTCTTTTCTGTCATTAAGTGTATCATTCTAGAGAGTTTCAACCTAATACAACTGAAGAATAATGTAGATTTAGAAATTACATATAACGATCACAAGAGAAACGTAAACCAGTACCCTCAGCGAGTTAGAATTTAGTTGACCGTAGACTAATTTCCATCTGACTAATCATCCATCTGTGTATTCTTTGCTACCCATTTTGTTAGTCTTGAACTAACCAGTCCAATAAATATCCTCACACTGTACTTCGATAGTAATATTACCCTGCAGTTAGCTAAAATATGAGGATTAACTCTTCTTACTATTGGAATTGTTAATCTTCTTGAGAAATTCTCAAATTAGTTATTAAGGCTTACCCCGACTTGTAAGAACTCGTAAAGGATCCATTAATCACTCAGAATAAATTATATTTATGAGAATATTTAAATATAAATGAATACGATTATTACAATATATTTATATAATACAAGTAGTCCCATTTCCGTTTATCACTTCCATATAAAGAGAGTAACCAATCAATCATTTTCTATGTTTCTTCTTGGAAATGCGAATGCAAAAAGTATTCATATATTTATATATATTAAACAGTTTCTTTATTGACCTAGCAGAGATAACGATTGTAGACTACACGAATCTTCTTCACTTAATCTGAAATACCAAATCATTGAACAGGGACAACATAAAAAGCCGCATATGGAATATTGTAAGTTCAGCTCGCGTCCCACTGCCAATTAAAAAGCAACTGATTGACGTATATTTGTCTCTTAGAGAAATTGATTATTTTTATATCATTAATTCAGTACTAACATAATTTTGAGACTATAGATTGAGTTATGGAATCGTAAATCAGTAAACAATTTTTGGTTTATATAACTAACTATTCATCAACTTCAATTTAAAGAAGAGAGTCTAGAGAACTTTTAGTCAATTTTTTGTGATATAAAATAACAAATTTGTTAAATCTGTTAAGAAAACTAAAAGGTTCCGCTAGTTAACATTTGTAATGAGCGTATCGAATTGCTCGTGTGTAACGTAAGCGTTTGCTAAGTGACCTTCAATTTCTAAAAACTATAAATCTGTTTTCCGAATAGTATATATACCCAAGCAAACGTGATCTATCTGTACAATAGTTCGATTTTATTTTGCATAGTTAGTACTAAACAAAAACAAAACTAAAAGTCAAAATGAACAAGATTTTATTATTAGGATTCTTCCTATTCAGCATAATGACTTGTAACGACAAGGATATTATTTCTCAATATGGGATTCAATTAAAACATGTGACTTATTCCAGGTAATGGAGACGCTGGCTTTTCGTTCGGAGGCAATCTTGCTGCTTCATTTGGTGGTGGTTCGAGTGGTTCTGCTGGAGGTGGTGGAGGTGGTGAAGTTGGTGGAGGTGGTGGTGCGGTTGGTTCTTCTGGAGGTGGTGCTGCTGGTTCTCTTGGTGGTAAGGATAAAGAATAAGCTTTAACCATTCCATAGAAATATTATATTGAAAAGATCTGTTTGACATCAATATAAATAATGAAAAATGCACTCCATCATTCTTATCGATCGATAGGAATCAATTTCAGGCATATTTTTGTCAATATGGCACCCCAGTGTTCCTATTAAACGACCACATCATCTGAGGCTATAAACATTTGGCATCATGATGTTTAATATTCTCTGTACATAATTTTTAAATTTACAAAGAGAAGTATTGTATACATTTTTTACTAATCAAATTGATAAAACATTTAATGATGTTTTATTAGGTCATTAAATTCAATAATGACAATAAAGGTTCCACATCTTCTTATCAAACACTATTGCTTTAAGAAAAACAGAATATTTTTAATTTGAAATCTTCGTCTTCTTATTTGGAACTACAGTCCAGTATGAACCTTGGCCTCCCTCACGATCTGCCTCCACCTGTCCCTATCTTCTGCTACTCTCTTCCAGTTCAGTACTCCAATCGTTCTTGCATCATCATACACGTTCTCATCCCATCTTGTTCTTGGCCTACCTCTGTGCCTGGTTGTCATCGGCTTTGCGTTGAATATGCTGTTCGGCTTTCTCTCCGACCCCATTCTTGTTACATGAGCAGCCCATTGTAACCTTTGCAACTTAATGTATCTCACTATATTTTCGTTTCTAAGCAGTTCTTCAATTTTATTATTTGATCGTCTTTGAAAAGTTACTGCATCAATTTGGATTGGTCAGTAAATTTGGCGAACTATTTTTCTTTCAAAATTTTTAAAGCTTCTTCGTCCGCCTTCGTCATTGTCCATGTTTCTGACCCATATGTAACTACCGGTCTTATTATTTTCATGTACATTCGTAGCTTACTTTCCTTGGATAGTAGTCTTGATTTCATTAAGTCTAAATATTTGTAAAAACATCTATTTGCTGCTTGTATTCTATTTCTTATTGCGATTCTGCAATCATTATTGTTGCTAATCGGCGCACCGAGGTATGTAAAGTTGCTAACAACCTTAAAATTGTATTCACCAATTGATATGTGATACCCGTACCCTCGTTCCCTCTTGCTAGCTTGAGGTATTTGTTTAATATGACGAGATTTTCAATGGAGTGAATGGCGTAGTGTAATGTTAATATAAACAAGAATGCTGAAAGGCTGTCACCCTGTTGAACTCCAAAGCTTATTGAAAACGACTGAGAAGTGTCCATTGATAATAACCTTGCCTGATGAGTTCGCAAGAATCATTGCGACCAATCGAGTAAGTTTTTGCGGGGCGCTCGCCCACGCCAGACCGTTTATGATTTCTGATCCTTGGAGGCTTATAGCACTTTTCCATCGATTGACGTAGCACAAATATTTGATCAATTGTTGACCTACCAGGTCTAAAACCGCATTGATACTCGCCTATAGTTTCACCAATTGCTTCATGAAGCTTATCTTTTAAAATATTAGAGAAAATTTTATAGCCAACATCGGGCAGCGAGATTGGTCTGCAGTTGCCGCATTCAAGTTTGTTGCCTTTCTTATAGACTGGGAAGATTAAACTGCTTTACAATGCTTCTGGCAGTTGTTCGCTGTGCCATATTCCACATATCAAGGAGTGCATTTCGGTTTCTATGTAATATTGTTCTCTCCTAGCGCTTTCTTTAACTTTAACCTTTTCACCGAATTTTTCACGTCGCCTAGGCTCGGAAGATCGTAACTTGCCATCAGTTGCGGTATTGCAGTTTTTACCGATATCGCTTCATTTATGCTGTTGAAGCTTAATGAGTCGGTGAAATGCTCCTTCCATCTCTCTATGGCTTGGTTTGTTTCAGTGCGTACTATCCCATTTTTATCCTTGCATGCAAAAGGTCTTGGTTCATATTTGCTACTAATACAATTTATTTGACTATAGAAATCCCTTGTATTGTTTCTCATTCTTTCTTCATCTATTTGTTTAATTTTTGTCTTGTAAAACTCCCTTTTTTTCTTTCTACAAAGCTTATACGCAGTTTTTCTTTTTTCACGGTAGCACAGAATAGCTGCTTTTGTGCCTCTATTTATCATATTCATTCTCACTGTATTTCTTGGTGCAATTGCTTCCCTGTATTCATTATCGTAACATTCCACACTTCGTATAGCTCTCATCTCACCAATTGTTTCTTTTGCCGAGTCGAGTATTACGATTTCTATTGAGCCATTTCTCTTCAATTGAATTCGCTTTGAGATGTCTTCTTGGAATTAATTTTGTATCACGCTGCGATGCCTATCCAGATTACTCGCTATTTTCAGTTTATCTACATCCCATTTGCAAACTTTTCTTATATTTTGTTGTTCTATCTTAGATACTCTCTGTCTTATTATAGATTTTACCAAACAGTGATTTGAGTCGAAGTTAGCTCCTCTGCAAACTTTAACATCGAGGATTGACGAAAAATGCCTGCCATCGACAAGAATATGATCAATTTGATTTGAGCCTGTATTTCCCGGCACTCTCCACGTAGCCCTATGTATTCGTTTGTGTTCAAAAAGGTGCCCATTATTCTGAAATTTAGTTTTTGTGTAAGCTGAGCAAGTTGTAACCCATTAGGACTGGTTACTTCGAATAGTAAATTTTTTCCGCATATTTCATTAAGGAATGGTTCCTTACCTAGTTTCGCGTTAAAGTCGCCTAGTATTATTTTTGTATCATACTTATTCACATTTTTGCTTGCCTTAATCAGAGTATCATAGAAATGTTCCTTTTCTTCATCTTCACTATCTTCTGTAGGGGCGTATCAGTTTATGAAAGTGATGTTATTAAACTTACCTTGTACTCGAAGCTTGCATATTCTTTCATCTATAGGTTCAAAACTCATAATACTACCCTTAATTTTTTTGTCAATAAAGAAACCGGTTCCTTTTCTTCCTGTGTTGCCCTTAACTCCATTATAGTAAAATGAAAATGTTTTCTTGTCGATTTTTTCATATTCCGCCCATCTTACTTCTTGAACTGCGAGTATTTTGAGGCTATACCTGCGCATTTTATCAGCTATTTCCATCATTTTTCCTGATGTTAACATCGTTAATACGTTCCATGTTTCAAATCTTAAGTCCAAATTTCGTCGCCATAGTCCGTCAACGTGTATCCTTCCATTGTTCCGAGGTATGTCTAAGGGTTGCGTAGTGGTAAAATTTTTCCGATGCAGGGTTGCTGGCCTTGCGATCAACCCCCAACTTGGATGGCCAGATCTCCTCGCTAACCCGGAGATAGGATTGGTGTTAAATAGTTAGAGAATTTCCGCTCACTTATATTTTTTTCAGGTTTTACCGCCTGTACTCGGTCGCCAGAGCCTCGTATGCAAAAAACAGGATGCGCCACGTGTAGGTGAGGTTGACATTTGAACAGGCTAGGCTATATATTCGCATCACTTCTCCATTAGGGCACACTTTTTTGCCCGTTACATCCTTTTTAATTTTAAATATAATTCTTATTTCTTTTAATATAAATTAAGGCAATTGAATTGCTCTCTGCAAACTGCAATCAAAAAATTAGGAGAATTTGTTTCTATCCTATTCCTTTTAGCAAATAAGTTATTATCTCCTCAACCGACACATTCATAAGAAAAAATTTTCATTCTTCTTTGCTTGTTCTTAATTTTACAAATCTTTTCAAAATAGATTGTTATTTGCAAGAGTTGGGAATTTTTCACCTATATAAAGAATACATGAATGTTATGTCTTTATGAAGCTGAAGTAAACCGAAACGATTTCGGTACGAAATTAACGAACAAGCATAAATCTTTCTTTTCTTCTCCAGTTTTGATTGAGCTCGGAAAGTTTGGTTGGCTGGTTAAAGTGGTGGATCAGTAATTAACTTTCCGTTGACTTGAATTACCGGATTTTCACCGTATTGCTACTATATTACTGGCAAGAAACCTTAATACGCAGACTAAATTCATCATTCAGAGCATTCAGAGAGAAAATGATTTATTCTGCAATAGGTATTAAAAAAATACACAGTTTCTATGTATAATTTCATAGACACCAATGACTAGACAATACTACAGTAAGCGTTGCAGTATTCGCACGATCGCTTTTGATAAGTTCCCAAAATATAGTCTAATTAGAAGTGGGCCATGTTAACCGAGAAATAGCACATGACCTAAGTGTTTTCCACTTACTATAAACAGGCTAAAAAAGTGTAGGTAACTGCTTCTTTTAACGGTCTTCACGTAAACGAAAACCGGTACCCCTAGGGGCACATGTAAAGAAGCTTAGGAAGTTTAATTGATTAGTTGACCGTAGATTAATTTTATAAAAAAGCTATCTAAAATTCATCTATCTGCTTATTCTTTGCTAACCCTTTTGTTAGTCTTGCACTAACTATTCATTAACTTCAATTTATAGAAGAAAGTCTAGAGAACTTTTAGTCAATTTTTTGTGATATAAAATAACAAATTTGTTAAATCTGTTAAGAAAACTAAAAGGTTCCGCTACTTAACACTTGTAATGAGCGTATCGAATTGCTCGTGTGTAACGTAAGCGTTTGCTAAGTGACCTTCAATTTCTGAAAACTATAAATCTGTTTTCCGAATAGTATATATACCCGAGCAAACGTGATCTATCTGTACAATAGTTCGATTTTATTTTGTATAGTTAGTACTAAACGAGAACGAAACTAAAAATCAAAATGAACAAGATTTTATTATTAGGATTCTTCCTATTCAGCATAACGACATGTTAGGATAAGGATAATATTTCTAAATATGGGATTCAATTAAAACATTTCACTAATTCCAGGTAATGGAGATGCTGGCTCAACATATGGAGGTGGTGCTGCTGGTTCATATGGCGGTGGTGCGGCTGGTTCTACTGGAGATGCTTCAGCTCAGGGAGACGCGCAACTAGGTGTTGTCGCTGAAGCCAGTGCCAGTGCCAGTGCCAGTGCCTCAGTTGCACGCTGATCCACATTGAATCGAAATTTGTTCATTGTTTTATTATGTCTGTATATACATTAATTATTTGAACACAACAGCAAATTAATTAATAAATTTTTTTATAACTCTCATTAATTATGATTTTGCTTTAAGATGATGGATATTTATTTTATCTCTATTAACATTGTTTCATAGACCTCTAAACAAACAAAACTACTGTCTATGTATACCTAAGAAGATATAATTAATTTTCTTAACTTGACTTATGGTGTGTCGGTTTAAGCAAAATGAACGCTTCACAGTAGACTGATCCTCAAACCAATCAATAGATTTTACATACTCATTGGGAAACTAATAGACAACTTCGCGCTTTTCAGTGCATTGAGCACGACTATCAGATATTATTCGATCCTCAGTGTCTTGGTTTTAATTAATTTACTGCTTCATTTTGGCTCGGTTGAAAACTGCTAAGGACATTTGAAATGTAAAGCAGTTTTTAATAATCAGCGATGGAAATCAAGTGTAAAATTATTCCAAATTCTAAGTTAGAAACAAAAAGTGATTCCAAGATTTTTTTATGTTTTAAATTCATTAAAAGTGTATTTTCTTATTTACTAATCATAATTTAATTGCTGGACTTTCCCTCTGAAATTGTAAACAAACAAAAAAGTTTTCTGAGTTTCAAAGCTCAATGAGCGTAGCTCATTCCCTTCCAGAATCAAAGCAAGCCCAGAACAAAAATAATGTTTTTAATAATGATTTGTTAATGCCATTTAATTCTAGTGATTTAAATTTAAAATCAAGTGAACTCAACAAAAGTGAGAATACTAATTTTTTGAAAATAAAGGACAATAATTAAAACCCCCTTAATTCCCGCGCAAATAAACACTTTACATACTCCAATGAGTAAATCGATATTCGAATCGGTAAAAAACTCATATATAGTAACACAGACTCTTCCTCACGAAAGCACTATATCAAATAAAAGCTCTTCATTGTTGATGAGTAAAAGCTCCACGTATACAAAGAAGACCACTTCCGACAAGTATTTAATGATTTTGCGAAACGCAACAAGAAATTCTACTCTTATCAACTAAAATCTAGTAAAGGTCTTATTGTAATAATCAATGGAATAGATCCTGAAGTAGACCCAATTAAAATTCAAGAAGCTCTTGAAGAACTTAATTTTAACGTAAACAGCGTACATAACATATTAAATAGAGATCGCATACCTCAGCCCATATACAAAATTGAGCTAAAGCCTGATTGTAAAAAACTTAAAAAAGGGGAGATACATCCTATATATTCTTTAAGGTATTTACTTCACAGGAAAATTGTGGTTGAAGAACCACATAAACGCTGAGAGCCTATTCAATGTCTAAATTGTCAGGAATATGGACACTCAAGAACATATTGCGAACTAGAAAGTATAGGCGTGATATGTTCTGCAAAATGTCCGAAGAACAAAGTTGATTACAAAGATAAATGTTGCTCAAATTGCGGTGGAAACCATACAGCGAATTATAGAGGTTGCCCAGTATACATTGAACTAAAACAAAGAATTAAAAATAATGTAAGTAAAACTTAAGTGAATACAACAAATTCTGCGAATATTTTGCCCAATCAATTTATTAATATAATTAAAAATGCAACAACTTCTTCAAATAACAAATCAAATTTACAATCTTATGCAGACGTTGTTAAGAATACTCCAACTATCAACAATAACTCTGAAATCACCAATATGTCTTCAAATACTGAATCTATACTTTCATCCTTTATTCATAACATGGACAATTTTATGGATTGGATGCAAAAACTGATGATTAACATTATGCAAAGTATGATTCAAAATCAAACTCTGCCAACACTCACTTAAAATTCAAGATTATCTATATAGAAATGACATAGATATTATGCTGTTATCAGAGACTCACTTAAAGCAAAAAAATTGTTTTCGGATAAATGGTTACAAATTTTATGACACCAAACATCCAGATAAAAAAGCTCAGAGAGGCACCGGCGTATTAATCAAGAAAACTGTTCACCACTTTGAATTAGAGCAATATAGTGAAAAACACATGCAAGCTACCTCAATTTGTGTAAAAACTGGTCCGAATAAAATAGTTTTTTCTGCTGTTTACTAAACTCCACGGCTTACTGTAACTACAGCCCAATTTCGTACATTTTTTAATATGTTAGGTCCCAAATATGTAGCTGCTGGCGAAACACACTTTTTGGGGTTCGAGACTAATCTCACCAAGAGTCAGACAGCTTTACATGGCATTTAAGAATGATCTTGATATTATTTCCTCAGGTCAACCAACGTATTGGCCAACTGATCAACATAAAATACCTGACTTGATTGACTTTAGTGTTATTAAAGGACTAAGTAGAAAAGATTTAACTTCAGTACCATCATTTGATCTATCCTCAGACTCTCTCTGGTTATTTCAACTTTGTTAAAACTATATAGAAACGATACAGAATGTCAGATCAGCAAAAAAAAATTATCAACTGGTCATATTATACTAACATAATGCAGAATCGCATACCTCAAATTACAGATCTTAGATGTCATTCAAGTATTGATAAAGCTCTGAAATTACTGAACAAAACAATAACCATGCGATAAAAGATACCTCAACTTACAGAAAAATCGCTCGTTCGGAAGTTGTTTCTCACAATGAAATTGAGACGTGAATGGCAAAAGTTTCGTTCTCCTAACGCTAAACAAAGACGTAATGAATTCACTAAATTACTTAAAGAAACACTCAACAATCATAGAAATTTGGCAGTACGGCACTATTTAGTGAATATTGGACCTAATAAAGAAAACAATTATGCTTTGTGGAAAGCATTCAAAAAATTGAAAATTCCTATTCAAAATGTTACTCGCATCCGAAAACTAGACGGATCATGGGCTAAAAGTAATGAAGAAAAGGGATCTGTTCTAGTTAATTACTTAAAAACAGTATTTCAACCAAATCCAGAAGTAGTCAACTTCCACCCTAGAGTTCATTTTCCAGTAAAGGTGAAAGCTCCAATTAAACTAAGCAGAGGCGAGGCGTCGAATGGTTCAGAGTGTTCACTGAACACCTTAACAAAGCTTCCTTTTTAGATTTTTTTTATTAGGTAAATAATCTCGCTATATTGCTACTTAACATTTTTTATAATAGCTTTTCCAAACAGATTAACATAAACACAAAACGTACAATAGAAACAAAATCACACATATATTAGATACACCCAACATTGCTTATAATTAATAAAAGAGAAAACACATTCCTCTTGAAATATACTAAGGTGCAGAATAAAAACTGCACCGCGTTGCTTACAAAGCATGCAAATGAAATAACATTCACATTGGGATTATGTTCAATATTGAATACACAACACAAAACATGCAAACAAATATAAAAATAAAAGAAAAAACAAGCCCCGCAAAATATGTACGGAAAATAATCGTAACTCTTAAATTAATGCGTGCAAGCGGTTCAATAAAAAAAGTGCACTTCCAATGTTATGCAAATCAAGAAAACTGGACTATTACAGTCGGAATGATCTTCTATATAATATATATTTCTTATTTTAATATATATTTCATTAGATAAACCAATGACAGTAAAATTGAATGGCCATAAAGATGTTACGTGCTTGAAAGGAAATACGAAGAGATTTCACACTTTTTTTTTTTATTTCATTTTTTATTGAATTCTGGTCAGTAGTTGTTTTTTTTTCAAACGTAAAGTTCTACGTGTTGGAAGCAACTGTCTGGCTTGTGGCTTGGGATGTACACTAAGCTTCGTAAGATATTTGCCTATGTATGCTCGGGTAACATCCTTTACTAATGGGATGTTTAAATCCTTATAGATATTGTTTTTACGTACCACGGGGCTCCTGTTATTTTACGTGTGATGAAGTTTTTCAGTCTTTGAATCTTTTCAATATTTGTAGAGCAAGCTGAACACCATAAATTAATTCCACAAGTCCATATAGGTTTAATAACACAGTTGTATAGAAAGACTCTGTTTTCAAAGCTTAGTTTACTATTTGGGTTCATAAGCCAATAGAGCTAATTAAACTTTAATTTCATTTGTGTTTTCTTACTATCTATGTGTTTGCTCCAAGTCAACCTTCTATCAAGATGAATGCCAAGATACTTTACGTCGTTTGCTTGCGGAATTGGAATGTTGTTCAGCGTAACTTGTGGACAAGTCTCTTTTCGTAGTGCAAACGTTATTTGAACACCTTTTAATTCATTTACTTTTATCCTCCATTTGCCAACCACTCCTCAATAAGACACAGATGAAGTGGCAAATTCTGAGAGGCCATTTTGGGGTTTCTATGTACACTAAGGATTGCAGTATCGCCTGCAAAAGTTGAGATTTTATGGTTAGAAAAGAGAGGAAGATCGGCGGTGTATAGTTAATATAAAAACAGCCCAAAAACACTTTCCTGAGGAATACCTGCCATTATTTCAACTTCTCTTGAAGTAAAAGAGTTATGTTTCAAACGAAATTTTCTAGAAGTTAAGTAAGAAAGAAATAACCGATGCATGTTTTCAAGGAATTTTAATTTAATTTTCGCAAGTAAGCATTCATGCCAAACCTTGTCGAAAGCTTGAGCAACGTCCAGAAAAATGGCGGTGCAATAATTTTTTCCTGGAAAGCAGTGTGGATTTCACTTGCAAATCTGTGGACTTGTTCTATTGTTCCGTGATTTTGTCTGAAACTAAATTGGTGATTAGGTGTTATTTTATGATGCATTATATTTCCAATTTAGCTAAAATTATTCTTTCGAAGATCTTCGATAAATGAGGAAGAAGACTTATTGGCCTGTAAGAGGTAGCCATTGTTGGGTCCTTTCCTGGTTTTGGAATCATTTTTATCAGAGAAACTTTCCATTGCTTTGGATAATAGCCTGTAGCAAGAATATTATTAAATATTATGGTTAAAAATAAAACTACCTTATCAGGGAGAAATTTTATCATTTTGCCTGTAATATGATAAAGACCTGGTGCCTTCTTAGGATTTGAATTTGTTTGAGTTGCTTCTTTTACTTCATAAATACTTAGTTTCAGTAGCGAGGCGTCAGCTTTTTGACAAGGTGTTCACAATTTCATCAAAACAGAA